GGGAAACTGTTATAGGCTGGTGTACACAGCATGGTGGTAGTTCAAGGATGGAGGGCATCCTGTTCTGAGCTACCTCTTTTATTTAACTTTTTATTTTGAAGAAATTACAGATTAATAGAAAGTTCTGGAAATAGTACAAAGAAAGTATTGTATATCCTTCGTGTGGTTCTTCCTAATGCTTATATTCTACCTTACTATAGTAGAAAACAAAAACCAGGAGATGGTCGTCGGGACAGCATGTGTGTAGAGTTGTATGCCATTTCATCACATATGTAGATTTTTGTAACTACTACCACTGTCATCAAGATACAGAAGTCCTCTTCATCCTGCTATTGAGATTGAGATTTTTAAAAAATTTCAGTTATTACACTTTTCGGTTATAAAATTCCACTCAATTCTCTCAGATCTCAGATTTCTTTGATGAGATTTTTCAATTTTAAAAAATTTTTTAAAGATGTGATTGCAATTGTCCATTGAAGCATTTTTGTAATGATGGAATTAAAATCCTAGTTAGGTAATTCTACATCTGTGTTATTCAGATGTTAGCATAAGTTGACTGTCTTTTCTCATTCAAGTTGAGATTTCCTGTTTCTTTGTATAATGAATGATTTCTTACTATATCCTAGACATGTGGGGGGTCTTACAATAGATCGTGAAACTTTGGCTCCTATGACATTGCACCAGTGGGGAAAGTGGGATGCTACTCTGTTTCTGCCAGGTGGGAATAGAAGTCCAGTTACCATACATGGCCTCCATTTACACTCTCAGGGATGAAGGAGTACCTTGTTACTGCCGGATGAGGTTGGTAGTTCAGGCTCTGCAGTATGCCTCCACTGATACCACCTAGCTGGGATGGGGAGAGGTGCGTGGTTCCTGCCCCTCATATGGCTTCCACAGTGAAAAGAGGCCTCTTTTCCACCAGAAGATAGTAAAAACTCTAGCTTCCTACTCAGCAGTTTCTGACATTACCCTGGTGGGAAAGGGATGCTTCATTAGAGGTACCCAGTGGTAGAAATCTAGTCTTCCCTTGACCTTGGCTGATGAGGGTGTGATTGAGTGCCATAGTTTTTTGGTAGTGTTTGGTTGCAGACAGGTGGTTTACGTCTACAAGTTTTCTATATCGCTTAGTTATCCCTTTCCAGGCCTTTGGCTAGAGAAGGCAGAATTTTGGCAGGGGGATTTATTTGTTTATCCCATTCATACGTTGCTGAGTTCTCTATTATCCAGTCTAGTATATAGGAAGCAAAAGAAAACCCGTGGAACTCGCTACAGTGTATTTTCTTGAGCTGGTTTGCCTTCTCTGCCCCCATTTTTCAAAATTGTCTTATGTTTGTCTTACAGATTATGTCCAGAGTTTTTTACTGTTCTTAGTGAGAGGAATAGAGAGGAGTGTGTTTACTCTATCTTGTCCTGGAATCATAAATCCACAGTTTTTAAAAAGCTGCTTTTGAAGCCTTGTCTCTAACTCTAAATGGATGAAAAAATTAATATTTAACTCTAAACTTGCTGGAGAAGAGGTTATGCCTTTTACAGATTATCAGAGTGGCTAGCAGATATATTCTGTATATTCTGCAAAATTCAGTCAAGTTCAGTTGCTCTGGCAACTGAAGAACCCATCTACCAGTGATTGCAAATATGGTTGTTTTTCTAGGAGACCCCTTTGGCTCTAAGAACTCAGTATTCTTGCTGAGGCTAAAAGATTGTAAGTAATAACTGTGGTAACCACATTGATTTGTTATTCCAACCATGACAGTTTTTTTTGTTGTTTTTTTTTTTTTTTTTGTAGAGGATTTTGCTATAGGGTGCGTGTGCTCGCCAGAAAGACAGAGAATGACAGAGAGACAGAAGGCAAGAAACCACCCCCCAGGGGAATGATGGCCATGCCACAATCCCTTCTCCTTCATTCTCCTCTTGGGATCTTGGGCACACATGCACACGCACCCGGTGTGAGTTTAAGCCACCGAGTCCGGGACTTGAACCGCGGTTGACTACATGGGAGTCCAGCGACATAGCCATTACACTAAGTGCCAGTCCCCCAATCATGATAGTTTTGAGATGTAAAAAGGATACTAACAGTTTCTATGGCCAGCGAATGAGTAAAGTAAGACTGACAGTCACCATAGTTAAACCTGTTCGGTGAGTTTACTGTTGAGTTAATTCGGAAATCCTGGATTAAAATATTCTGTGTTTTTCTCAAATGTCACAGATATATACTGGTGCATGTGTACATGCAGACACACATGCACATGCACTCTCGGGCATTCATACCTAGCAACAAAGAAATAGGGGAGAGTTAGGCAGTGTGGCTCAGATAAGGTAAGATTTTGCTAAAGAAAATATTCTTTCCCTTAGGACTTGTCCACAGGCGCACCTTCAGGTCTTTTAAATACCATTAATGCATTAATGGGACAAAGAAATGGGGTATTATCTCTTGAATAACTTTATAGTATTATCAACTAGACTGGGGAGAAATGTACACATGTTGGAATATTCACTTTGCAAGCTAAATAATATGATTGAATGTATAAAAGAACTTGAAATAAAATTTAAAAAAATTTTAAATTAAAAAATAAATAAATATCATTAATGCTTACAAAAAAAGGACATTACGGTTAAGGTTTGTCAGAAATACTCATTTAAATGTTTTGGATTAATGGAACACAAATGTTTGAAAAGGCCTGAATCACAGCTTTTATTCAAGTTATAAAATGGGAATTATTTCAGGTGTAAATAATTAATTCCAACAACTCTGTCTAATTTAGAGTGTGTCTGTCTGCCTGCAAATATGAGAGTCAATTCTTGGAGACTTGTAATATTAACCCCTTGTTAGGTTAGTACCTCTCATGAATCAGAGTTCTGACCCATGAGAGTCCAGAACTCTTAAGTTCTTTTTACTAAAATGGTGGTACTTTTCCATAGACAATCTTCCAAGCAGAAGAAGGCAATTCAGACTGCTATCCGCAAAAATAAAGAGGCAAATGCAGTGCTGGCCCGGCTGAACAGTGAACTCCAGCAGCAGCTCAAGGTAAGAAAGGCTTCTATCTGGGTTGCCAGGTTTTCCCCTAGCTTGTGTTGTTTGAAGACTGGCTGGTAATCCCCGTGGGTAAGACTTGCCTCTTTGTCTCAAACCCCTCTGGAAGGTGGGCTTTTAGTTTTCATAAGTTGCTTCTTGCATGCTTAGAGAAGACCAGAAACTTTAATATGTGTGCTGCATATTGTGTGTGAATTAAAAAGGGAAGAGAATCTATTACAAAGGCTGTTTGAATTGTTGCCTGAAGCTTCTGGGCAAATGCTTAGTTGTTTAGATCCTCTCCAAAAGATGCCATACATATTTTAGTGAAAGGAGGTGGCCCTGGTGCGATCAAAGGCCAACCCTCTCCCCTGGTATCTTGTAAATGGCTCCATCTCACCTTCTCAGGGACATTAGCCCGTCCTTATCACCAATCTCTCCTATATGTATTGGTTTCTCAGGGCTGCCATAATAAAGTACTACAAATTTGGTGGGTTAAAATAAATTAAAATAAAAGAAATTTATTCTTTCATGACTCAGGAAGCTAGAAGTCTGAAATCAACATACTCTCTGAAAAGCTCTAGAGGAAAATCCTTCTTACATCTCAGCTTCTGGTAGTTGCTGGCAGTCCTTGTCATTCCTTAGGTTGTAGACTCAGTATGCCAGTTTCTGCCTCCATTCTCACATGGCATTCTTCCTGTGGCACTGTGTCTGCATCCAAATTCCTCTTCTGTATCCTCTTATAAGAATACTTGTCATTGGACCAGGGTCCATCCTAAAGTAGCATGACCTCATCTTACATCTGCAGAGATGCTATTTGTGAATAAGTTCTTACAGGTGCTGGGGCTAGGACTGACCATATCTTCTGGAGGGGCATGATTCTACCCACTACATCCCCTGATTCTTCATTGTTCATTCTCCATCCACACATAAACTTTGTCCAGCACCACTGACCAATCATTGCCCCATTTCTCTGGTCATTCTTCTTTGCAAGTTTATTAGGAGTAGTTTTTCTTCTCTGTTTTTACTCTCTCGGTGGTTTTCTCACCCTGCCACTCCAGTGTGGCTTTGCTCTCCTTTACCCATGTCCAACCCTCTTATAACCAACTCCAATGGGCCTGTTTCAATATTACTCACACTTTCAGGAGAATTCTGCACAACTGATCATTCCGCCTTTGAAATTACTTTTCTGACAGGCCTTTGAGATACCCTGCTTTTCTGTTTTTTCTTCTACCTCACTGGCTCTTGCTCCTTAGCCTTCTCTGCCTTCTTTTCCTTCTCTGATAGATCTCTTTTATACATACCTCTACCTTTGCCCCAATATTATGAAAAAATTTTTTTTTGAGAGGTTTTTTCGCTATAGGGCGCGTGCGCTCGCCAGACAGACAGAGAGAGACATAGAGACAGAAAGCGAGAAATCACCCCCCAGGGGGGGTGGTCACGCCGCAATCCCTTCTCCTCCATTCTCCTCTCGGGATCTTGGGCACGTACGCACACGCGCCTGGCGTGAGTTTTAAGCCACCGGGTCCGGGACGTGAACCGTGGTCGACTACCGGGACGCGACCCACGGTCGACTACGTGGGAGTCCAGCGACATAGCCATTACGCTAACTGCTGGTTCCCAATATTATGAAAATTTTGAAACATACTGGAAAGTCGAAAGAATCTTACAGTGATGTAGTTTTTATCATCTGTCACTGATGAATAATTATATTGATCACTTTTCCTTGTTATTATTTACATTTCATATACTTTATTTTATTAAGTGTCTTTTCAAATATTTTGACCACTTTTTAAATTGAGTTTTTAGTCTTTGGTGTTAAGTTGTAGGCAGATGCTTTTTAAGTGTCTTCATTACCAGTCATTTGTCAAATATGTGTTTTGGGAATTGTTTCTTCTAGTCTTTGTTTCTTTCTTTTCTTTTTCTTCTTTTTTTTGAGAGTTTTTGTTGTTGTTGTTGTTGTTTTTTGCTATAGGGTGTGTGCGCTCACCAGACAAAGAGAGACAGAGAGACAGAAAGCGAGAAATTACCCCCCAGGGGGGATGACCATGCCACAATCCCTTCTCCTCCATTCTCCTCTTGGGATCTTGGGCACACACGCACACATGCCCAGCGTGAGTTTAAGCCACTGGGTCTGGGACTCGAACCGTGGTTGACTACATGGGAGTCCAGCAACATAGCCATTATGCTAACTGCTGGTCTCTCTAGTCTTTGTTTTGCTTCTTCTTCTTCTTCTTCTTTTTTTAAACTGTATCTTGTCATGAGCAGAAGTTTTTTATTTTGAAGTCTAAATTTATTATTTTTTCTTTTATGGTTAGTACTTTCTTCCTATATAAGGAAATTGCCTACCTCCAAATTATAAGGATATTCTCCTATTTTCTTTTAAGGGCTTTATTGTTTTAACTTTTATGTTTAAGATTATGATAAATTTTGTATTCAGTTTTGTTTATGGTTCAGAATTAGGGTCAAAGTTCATTTTTCCCCCCATTTCGATGTCTAGTTAATGCCAGCAGCATATGTTTAAGATTTTTCTTTTTCCCTTTGATTACTTTGGTACCCTTGTCAAAAATCTATTGAGCACACAGTGTAGGTTTATTCCTGGGTTCTTACTCTGTTCCATTAATCTATTTGTTAATCGTTATGCCAGTGCCACATAGTCTTGGTTACTGTTGACTTATGCTAAGTCTTGAAATTGGGTAATATAAAATTTTTCTACCTGCTATTATTTTTCAAGATTCCACTGGATTATCCTAGGCACTTTGTTTTGTATAAATTTTCCAATTTTGTTGGGTCAGTTTCAACAACATAGCTCTCTAGGATTATGACTGGATTTGCACTGAATATATAGATCAGTTTAGAGACAGTCAACATCTAAATGATGTTGAGTCTGCCAGTCTTCAAACAGTACATTTCTAAAATTCCACTCATTGGTTCTGAATTTTGAGTATCTAAGCCTTACATATCTTTTGTTAAATTTCTTTCCAATCTGTGTGTGTATATGCACATGACACACTGTTGTAAATTGAATTGTTTTGTAAAATTTCATTTTCTAATTGAGTTTATAAGGGTCATAGACTATAAGGTCACCACACACACAAATCAGTCATATTCTCGTATACAAGCAATGAGTAATTGGTAATGGAATTAAAAAAGATTTCACAATAGCTTATGCCCTCCCCCAAATGAAATACTTAGGTATATATCTGTCAAAGTACACACAGGATTTATATGTTGAAAAACTGCAAAATGCTGCCAAAAGAAATCCAAGAAGAGCTAAATAATTAAAGGCACATACCTTGTTCACAGATTTGGAAGATTCAACATAATAGAGATAAAATTTTTCTCCAAAGTTTTCTGTAGATTTATTGCAATACCAATTAAAAAAAAAGGAATTTTGTGAGTATAGACAAAATGATCTAAAAGCTTATATGTAAGGGCCAAGGGACTGGAATTGTTAAAACAAATTTGAAAAGGAAGAAGTAAGTTGGAGGAATTATTTTACTATCAAGCTTCGGTAACCAAGATAGTGTGGTATTGACAGAGGGACTGATGCATAGGTCAGTTAAGTAGGATAGAAAGTCCTAAAATAACCCCATGGATACAGCTATTTGATTTTTGAGTCACAGATGTAAATGTAAAACATAAAGCTACAACACTTCTGAAGGAAAACAGGAAAAAACTTCATGATCTGTTAGTAGAAATGACACCAAAAGCATGGTCTATAACAGAAAAGCATTTAATAAATTGGACTTCATAAAAATTAATTTTTTTGCTTTGCCAAAAATGCTATCAAGAAACTTAAGAGACAAGCTACACATTTGGAGAAAATGTTTGCACACCAACTTATATCTCAATGATATATTTTAAAAAACCTCTTAACACTCGATAGTAAGAAATCTCAAAATTCATGCAATTAAAAAGTGGGTAGAGGACTTGAGCAGACATTTTACCAAAAAGGATATAAGGATAGCAAATGAACACATGAGAAGAAACTCAACGTCATTAGCCACTAGGGAAATGCAAATTTTAATCATGATTATATACCACTACATCCATATTAGAATTTCCAGAAGAGAAAATAATGATACCAACAAGTGTTGGCAACTAGAACCCTCACATACTGGTACTGGGAATGCAAAATATGTACCACCACTCTGGAAAATCATTCAGCAGTTTCTTATTAGGATCCAGCAGATCTTAATCCTTAGTGAAATGAAAACTTATGTTCACTCAAAAATCTGTACAAGAATATTTATAGCAGTTTTATTTATGATGGCCAAAACCCGGAAGCAACCCAAATGTCCTTCAAAAGATGAATGGATAAACTGGAGTACATTCACACAGTGGAATAGTACTCAGCAGTAAACAGGAATGATCCACACAACTTGTATGAAACCTAGAGAGACATTATGCTGAATGAGACAAGTCAGTATCAAAATGTTATGTACTATGTGATTCCTTTTAATTTGATATTTTTGAAAAGGCAAAATGATGGTGATGGAAAGCAGATCAAGGGTTGTCAGCGGTTATGCCTGAGGTGAGAGTTTGTGTATGCATAAGCACCAGGAAGCTTTTATTTATTTTTTTTTTACTTTTTTTTTTTTAATTAAAGGTGTTTGCCATAGGGTGTGTGAACTCACCAGAGAGAGACAGAGAGAGAAAGAGCGAGGGAAAAAAGAAATCAACTCCCAGAAGGGATGGCCACACTGAAATCCCTTCTCTTCCATTCTCCTCCTGGGATTTTGGGCACACAGGTACATGGGCCGGCATGAATCTTAAGCCACCAGATCTGGAACTCAACCTACCATCTGCCCTGTGGGAGTCTAGCGCCTTAACCACTACAACTACATGGTGGCCCTGCACCAGGAAGTTTTTTGGATTGATAGAACTATAATATGTCCTGTTTGTGGAGGTGGTTACACAAATCTATACATGTCTTGAAATTCATAGAACTATACACTGAAAACAATAATCAATCTTACCCTCTGATAATTTAAAAAATAAAAAGATTGTTAATGTCAGAATTCATTCTGTTTTAGAAAACTTTGTATGTGACCTTGTTTTTGCTTGGTTTAGTTTTGGATTTCCTTTCTTTTCCCTCTGCCTTGGAGTAGATCAGTTTCATCCATTATTTTGTATACCTATTGAGTTATTTTACCTTGGAAACCCATATTCTTTGGTTCTTGGAGTTTTCTTGATTTTCATTATTATTATTTCCTCTCTGATGTTCCCCACCCCCATTTCCCTGTTCTCCCTCACTGTCCCTCTTAGTTTTGTTCTCTACTTTCCTCATATTTTTCTTTTCTTTCCTACTTTTTCCACTTTTGTCTATTTCCAGAGACTTACTTAATTTTGAAATATAAATCTCCTATTGTCTGGTAACTTTTTTTTTGCTCTCTGATTGTTTATTTTTGATGATATCCTGTTCTTATTTCATTATTATAACATCTTCTCTGAATGGTAATTTTTTTCCTCTTCTTCAATAGTTGCCTTTTCTGTTGTATCATATGTATATCCTCTGAGATGATTTTCTTCAATATCTGATGGCCTTTCTTTGCTCATATGTAAGAGTAAGATGAAAATACTGATTGGAAGGAAGTTCATATGATGTTGAGGAGGGTCTGTCAACTTGGAGCTTCACTCTCCAGCTTAGTAGTTGGGGATACCCCCCTTCCAAAGGTTGTATCATTGGCTCTTTCATCTTGGTCTCGTTTGAGTCTCCTTTTGATTTCCTTCATGGAGGGAAAGACCTGCTTATATGTAGCAAGAGAATTCTGGGTGTCAGCATCTAGGATATTCATTTACTCATCTATCGTGTCTTCAACTGTGGTTATTTCTTGCTATTCTAGATACTTGCCATTTTATCTTTTCAAGAAATAAACCTTCAGTGTTTTGCCCTGGTGGCAGAAAAGATAATGGGAACCTACTTCTGAAACAGACTTTCAACCAGTACTTGTTTTAGCCAATCCCCTTTCTAACATTTACTCCTACTTTCACAGGAATGTGTTGCTGCCAATTTGAGTCTTTCAGGGATTCTCCTATGTAAAATCAGATTGGTTCTTGACTTTTCCTCTATGCTTAGCTTATGATTCAGTTTTCTTTACTTGATCTGTATAAGTGGGAAAGTTCTAGGTCCAGTGAACAGAAGTCTAGAGGATCATCAAAACAAACCAAGCCAGTTTACAGGTCCAGAACCCCTTTAATGAAGGGACATTTGGGTCTCCCTTAAGGAAGGGCACCTACAATGTAGCCAAAAATTTAGTTAATCTTCTTCCTACCTACAGCCATTTGCAATGGTGACTGTGCTCCTGGGGAAGGGAAATAGTCAGACTTTTGGAGGATTATTGGACACTGGTTCTGAGCAGATACTAATTCCAGGAGACCTAAAGTATCACTATGGTCTGCCAGTCAAAGTAGGGTCTCATGGCGGTCAGGTGATTAATGGAGTTTTACCTCAGACCCATCTCACAGTAGGCCCAGAGGGTTATTTTCCCAGCTCTGGAATGCACACTTAAAATAGGCATATTCAACAGCTGGCAGAATTCCCACATCTGTTTTCCAAGCCATTTACCATTCATCAGTTTGCCTTTCAGCTGACAAATTTGATTTCTATCAGCTCTTCCCTTTTGTTTTCCTTGTCTTGTGGGTCTATGACTTTATTTTTTTTTAATTGTGATTTCTGGTTTACAAATAGTCCATGTATAACTTTATGAGATATGGTATAGTTTTTAAGGTACACATATAGTGTATAATAATTAAATCAAGGATATTCACATATTCATCTTCTGCAGCATTGAACATTACATTGTGTTGTGCACATGTGATAGTAGTTCTACTAGTTTGTTAGTAGTAACTTTTTTTTTCTTTTTTTTTTATTGCTATAGGGAGCATGTAACTTGCCAGAAAAAATAAAGAGAGAGAGAGAGATAGGTAGACATACAGAAAGCATCCCTAAATGGGGCATTGTAACTCCGCAATCCCTTTTCCTCTATTTCTCTATCCTGTCAGGACTTGGGGCATGTATGCACATGTGCCTAATGTGTTTTTCAAGCTACCGGAGCTGGAATTCAAACTGTGGTCAATCATCTGGGGTCCGACTTTCTATGCACAATACTTAAGTACTATGCTGTGGGGGTGACCCTATGACTTTAAAAAGTTGCTTTATTTATTTATTTATTTTAGTGGAGTCCCAAGAGGGAGTGAGTATCATACCTATGGTCAATCTTCTGTCCACGGGCTAGTGAAACCTAAGCTTATGTTTCAAGCCCTACTTCTATTTCCTCTGAGCTCTAGACATGCGTGTATGACGTCTTACTCAACTTTCTCCTTGGATATCTAATATACAATAATGGTATCTCAGATACCATTCCCAGCCTTCTTGAGATGCTGGACAGTTCTTATCTAATCTTCTTGTTCTCAATTAATGCCATTACGCAGTTCTAGATTCAAATTATATCCAGAATCCATCCCCTTCTTTCCATCTTTATGGCTACTACCCTGATGAAAGCGTTTCACTTTTCACCTGGGTCCATACAGTAACTGGCCAGTTGCTTCCCTGCTTCCACTTTTACTCTGCTATGATCCTCTGTCCACACAGTAGCCAGCGAGAACATTGAGTTATAAATTGGGTCATGTCTCTTCTCTGATTAGAAGCCCTCAGTTCCATCTTCCCAAATACTTTGAATAAAACCCACACTCTTCTGCCCACAAGGCCCTGTATTCTCTGGCTCCTGCTTAAATTTCTGACTTCATCTTTCGCCAATGTCTTCATTGCTCCTTTGACTCTGGTCACACAAGCCTTTTTATTCATCATATTCACCAAGCTCATTCCCTCCCTGAGGGCCTTTGCGGTTACTATCTGCTGCTCCCCCTCTCAAATATCCTTTGTCTGTATCTTCATATGGCTCACTCTTCACTTCATTTAAGTCTCTGATTCAATAGCATCACCTCCATCAAGCCTCCCCGATCCCCGATCTCCCTATCGCCTTTCTTCTCTCTGTTACTCTCTTATTTATAATACCATCTTAATAATACCATCTCATTTGTTTCCTTATGGAAACTTCTTACTCATTAACTTTATTGTATTGCTCTAGCCATTTGAATGTCAGCCCTGTGAGGGCATCGATCTGATCTGCCTTTCTTTGCTGATACCATCACTGCTCGAGCATGATGTGGTCTAAAGCCAAAGACTCCTGGATGGGTGGATAGAGTTCTCTAGTGACTACTAGCATGTTGATTATTCTGTAGCCTTCATACAGAATTCGTTCCCATCTTAACTGATTCTATTTAAAAATGCCTTTATGTGTCCCCTCTCTCCCTGCCAAAAGATCTATTTTAGTCTGAAAATGTGAAGTCCCACATAGCAGATTGCTGATGTTCTCTTCTGCCTTTCACCCAGAAGTCACACCTTAAACCATATTTTGTGCAGGAGTTAGATGAGAGTTTGATGGATGGATATCTAGTGTACCTTTTCATCCTTCAGACCTGACTGAGTGCAGTGCTGGATTAGAAGCCAAAGATTATAGCCAAATATTTAGTCTTGATGCCTCACCTCTCAGTATTGGGTGTCTGCCTTTGCTTTCTAATGTCTCCCAACCAGTCTTTTAGTTTTTAATGTATTTCTCTACCTGTTACTGATTCTGTTAAAATAGTATGAAACTAAGGTGGAGTGATGGAAGGAGATTGGTCAGTTTCATTTCATCATCTTCAGCAAGTTGAGAGATTAGGAAATTTGGAAGCCCCCTTTCTCTGGTCACCAGCTTTAAGTCTGATGCCTTCTGGTCCACATGTCCCTTTCTATAAGAGTTTATTTCTTCTGCAAAAGAGAGAAACATACAGAGAGAGAGAGAAAAAAAGAGACAGAGACAGCACCCTCAACAGGGTCTTAATGCTGTGATTCTCCCCAGCTTCAGCCAGCACCAGATTACGCACACATGCCTGCCTGGCATATTCAAGAACATCTATGGATTTGAACCCAGAACTTTCCCATGTGGGTCAGCCTCCCGGACTTTATACAGTTTTACTGCTACACCATTATCCGACCCCATTTGTTCTCGTGTTATACAACACTTACGTGTTTGTGGGTCCAGTTATACATTTTCTTTTAATATGTGAGAAAGTAGGGACAAACCCAGGAACTGACTCTTTTGGTTTTTTTCTCTCTGTTTTGTATAACTTAGGAGGTTCATCAAGAACGGATTGCATTGGAAAACCAACTGGAACAACTTCGTCCAGTCACTGTGTTGTGACCCCCAGGGTTCAAGTGACAAAGAATGACCTTGTCTGCCAAGATCTTTCTTTTGAATGTTTGATACCAACTACTTGTCATAGATGTCTGACTGTGTCAAATGCCCTGAGCAGCAGAATATAAAACCATATGACCTTTCCTCTTGTACTTTACTTGTACATTTTATTGTGGTAGAAAAAATACTTCAGCTGATTATCACACTTCAATCTGTAATTATCAGTGTAATTTACCTCTCATTCTTAAGTCCTTTCTCAAGGTGGTAGATGCTGTTCCTAGCCCCCAAAATCAGTCTTTTAGCAAATAAAAAGAATTTAGAGCATTATTTATTTAAAAAATTGTGATTTGTACAAGACCCTATAACCAAATACCTTCAGGATGCTTGTTTTATTTTTTTAATGTATATCACATACAGTAGGTTCTTTTCCTGAATAATTGGGATTCCAACTGGATAGTATTTGGCATGATAATAATAAAAACAAAAGCTCAAATAAAATGAAAGCATCAGATTTAGACTGGCATGGTGCCCTCCCCCACCATATGCCAAAAGTCACTTCTCTAGTGCCATTTTGATATTACATCTAGATATAAATAATACATGACTATGGTTTTCTATTAGTGTCAAAGACTTATTGGGTCTTTACACCTCTGTAAAGTGGAGGTTTTGACAATGAGCTGTTTAACTTGGCCCAGCTAGGCCATCAACACTGATAACTCAGTCCTTTCATGTAAATTTTCGGGCAAGAGCAATCTTCTTTAACTTCCTTGCCTGATCAAATTAAATAAATACTTGCCAGCTCTTTACTTTTATCCTGCATGGGATAACATATCTGTAAATGCATGAGTTTAGAAACCACCTATCAAATATGAAAGGCTGATGAGACTGTTCGGATTGATAAACATTTGTTTTTTGAACCCGGGCATCCAAACTGGGGAAAAGGGGGAAGTGATTGCTACCAACCATCCAACGATCTCTGGTAGTTATTTTTGTCTGTATTTTCACCTGAATTGTGAGTATATGGACTTTTAAGAAATAATGAATGAAAGTGGTTCTCATACTGGTTATACACCTATTTTCATCTCTGTGAAGTGTACCTTTGGGATGTAATTGGTTTGTGTCAGGTGATGTAAAACAATAAACTCAAATAGCAGAAGCCTATATCCTGTAGAAAGTCAGGTAGCCACTGCTTTTGAAAGCCCCAGGTGAAAGGGAGAATTGACTGACCCTGCAGGGTCACAGGGTCACCAGGTCGCTGATCCTCACAGGGCATGCTATCTCTAACAGCCTTCTGAGAAGACTAATACTAAGAAAAGATGTCTCTTGTGCATTTTACTAATTTACCTATTCTTAGGATAGTGGAATAAGGTGGGCCTAGGGTCGTTTTTGAAGTGATTTTTCTTTTTTTTGATAGGCTTGCAATACGTGGGATTAAGCCTTTGATTTCAGTGAGCTGAGAAAAACTAGGCATTTATTTAATGCTTCCTTATTCCATTGGCAAGCTTTAGCAACAGCTTAACGGCAAAAAAGAAAGGCTCAAAGAAATGATGTCTTTCCAAAGAAAAACAAATTGTTGAATCTGTTCCATGCATATTTAAGAATTTGAATTGATTTGGTTTCATGGTTTTCGAAAGTTCTTCATTTCCTTTTTGATTCCCCATTTGGCTTTTTTTTTTTTTTTCCTTCATTTTTCGTGGGCAAAGTTGGGAGTAAGTTTAAACATTTCCTAAGATTATGAATGGGTCAGTGCAAATTTTTAGGTAACCCCTTTTCCCACATTCTGAAATCTAGGTCTGCAACAGATTTTATAAACAGTGTTCTTATTGCAGACATTTCAGAGTGTGTTTGGCTTTTGGTACATTCACTCCAGGAAAGACTAGCATATGCACTTTATCTCATAATCTTCCAGTACACATGCACTTACTCGAGGTAGCACTTCATATCCACGGACCAGACACGTACACTGAGGAATACTCGTTTATACAGTGCATTTTAAAATGTGGACATGCTCCCACCCTCCCCCATGAAGTCAGTGCCAGAATGAACTAAATCAGGAGGTTGAGATTTTATTTAGTTGGTTTGGTTTTCATTAAAGGATAAAACTTGCATTGGATAATCCAAGCCCCCCAAGTTTCATCGTCTTTAGGCTTTAAAGTCTTTCAGTCCTTAAAAACAATAGTTTAAGATAGGCATTGCATTTCAGCACACATCAATAGTATCTGTACCTAGTCTTCTTGACTGGACATAGGTGTGACCACAGTTTATTAGTTGCTTAAAAAGAGATTTTGAAAAAGCAATGGAATGTTTTTTTGTGTGTACACAAACACACACACACACAACACACACACACAATGGTGTTACATAACCAGTGCTTATCCTCTATTTCTCTGTTTTCATAGGATATGCACTTTTAATATAGGATCATATTGCCTGATAACATTTCTGTGAACATATAATGTGACTTGTAGGAAGACTGGATTATTGAAATCACCATTATACCTCTTCTCTAAAACAACTCCAAAATTAGACTTGCTTATGGGCAGAATTCCTCAGAAGGTCAATGTTGCCTCCCCCCATGGGAGTTTAACTGCTTTGTTCACTGTTAGAGATCTGCAGTCCCAAGATGAAAGCACAGTAGGAGCAGAGAGAAAGCTTATTCAGTCCTTCAGTACCTCTGGCATGTGGTATATTGCTTTTGCCACCTCCATATCTAGCAGACATGAAATGAGACCACAGGTAGCTATCTGGAATGGATGTGTATATTGTAATCAAGGTAGATATTTGCTTTAGTAGGAAGGATCTAACTGCTTTACAAATATTAGACAAGTTCTTGGGCCTGATTGGGAGAGGAGGCAACTTGGCTGGAGCCCAGCTGGAGCCATCATACTATCACTGACGAATAGAAAATCCAAGCTGGGAAGCACTGGTACACCCTATGATATGATTTAGTATATCACAGCAACCAGTTCTTCCTATGTTATTTAACAAATTTGGTGTAGGAACAGCATGTCCTGGCCTAAGGGTCAAGAGGAGATAGTGGTGAAATTGGGGTACTAGCCTGATTTGATGGATTCCAATTTAGGTCCTCTACCCTCTATCAATATTGAAAATAGATTAGAAGGGCTTTTTTTTTTTTCCTACTCACCATGTTGAATTGTATTGACTTAACTAGTCTTCAAATATGAAAACCCATTTTAAGGGTTTTTTAATCTAAGAAATTTCTCTTGGATTGAAATGAAAAATAAAATCTGAAGGAAAAGAACATGGTTGAACTTTCATGATGCAATAAGTTACTCTGAGTTTCTTGGCAGAATTCTTGACAGCTGTTGCTTTGAATGGCTTCCCTTCCCATATTTCTCATGGAAGTTCCTTTTTAAATAGACTACTGTGATTGAAATGAACTCAATGTGTAGTAAATTATAGTTCTCTTCAATATATCTTCAGTTACTACTTACTTGAGTCACAAATGTTCAATTTCAGCATATTTTAGGGTGAGTAATCAAAAACATGAATTTTCCTTTGATTTCCTACCAATGTCTGAGCTATCATAAAGCATTCTTCTCTTTAGATGTGATTTTATTCTATGATCTGTTTCTAAATGATATTTGTCTGATTCGTAAGTGGTCTCACAGCCATAGTAATAATAGATGTGTCCCCGGGAGATCAAGAGGCTAATATGTGGTATCAATGTGTTTCTTACAATTAAGGCAGACGTTTGCCAATGTCTTCTAAGCAGTGGTTGGAAAGATCTCAATTGCAGCATAACACCTTAGATGTAAAAACATTTGTTCAACAAAAACTAGAATCACACTTCTGTTATCACACCACACTAGTTATCACCAAGGGAACATGATTTTTAAAATACATAAAACAGAATTTTACATATCATAGCAACCAGTTCCTCCCATGTTATTTAACAAGTAGAGCTAAGTAGATTGTGGTTTGAACATTATAAATGTATGCAATATGAAATAAAAGTTAAGAGATCTTTTCCCCTCTCTAGTTAAATAGAATACTAGTAAATTTGGCGTCTCTTTCCAACTGGTTTACTCTGTTTCAAGTGTGCTCTTTTAAAATGCTGATTTCATAGGATCAGTTGAATTTATACTTTAGTTATGGGTGTTTTATTATGGTTTTCTGCTTTATTTTTCATTGTGGTTCAAGTTCCTGGTAAGAAATGAGGAAGTCCTTGGCTGGCATAACTTGCTCCTCCTTTGGCACAGGCTAAGAGAGATTGCCTAGCAATACTGACAGGGTGATGGTTGCTGGCAATCTGAATGTGCACATTGCTCAGTGAACCACCCTACTGTGCCTGTTTGTAAGGAGAAATACATCTAGTTATGTGAACCCTTCAGGAGTAGCCCCCAAGAGCAGCATACATGGAAGGCCAGTCTTTAGAAGCAATGCAAGCAGGGGCCAGCAGGTGGTGTGGTGGTTAAGGTGCTGGATTCCCACATAGCTGACCTCTATTCGAGTCCCAGACCTGGTGGCTTGAAAAATCACAACAATGTTAAGTGTTAAAAGAAAAAAAATTTTTTAAAAAAAGCAATGCAAGCAGATTTTTTTTCTTTTCTTTTTTTTTTATTTTTTAAAGATATTTTTGCTATAAGGTGTGTGTGCTCACTGGAGAGACAGGGAGAAAAAGAAAGCGAGAAATCACCCCCCAGGAGTATGGCCATGCTTCAGCTTCAATTCCTTCTCTTCCATTCTCGGTATCTTGGGCACAAACACACATGCACCCGCATGAGTTTTAAGCCACGGGGCCCGGGACTTGAACCATGGTTGACCACATGGGAGTCCAGCAATGTAACCATTATGCCATCTGCTGGTTCTGCAAGTAGATTCATAAGAGCTACCACCTCCAAAAATAGACTTTTGGAGGCTGCCTTACAAAAGGGTCCTGAAACAGCCAGTCAGTTAGTGTGAGCAGACGTCCCAGCCACACAGTTGCTTTTGGGCTTGTATTGTTATTTTCTACGTTTACTAACACATGTCATGATAAAGGAATCTTTCTTAGGCATTTCAGGGTTTCAATGGATAGGACTTGTAGTGACATAAGCCTTATTCTGCTATCAACAATTGAGGAATGCTTATTTTTCATGCTTTGTGGATCCTCCCGTCTCACTGTAAGCTAATTTCATGGCTATGGGAGTTTGGAGAAATTGGGTTTATGACTCTAAAGACCAGAGGATACCAGACTTTTAGAAGGCTTTAGCTGGCATTTGGGGACTATGATAAGGACACCTTCAGATACCAGTTCTGCCCTAAAGCACTCTGTTGGACAACAAGATTCAGTCCTAAGACTCCTTCAGGGAGCTCTGCCCTGGAACTGGACCAGTTGATGCAATAGCCCCATTGCGTGAAGATTGGGATCAACTGAGTTATGTTATTTTTGTTTCAAGGCAACTTGTGTAGAAGCTTCAACTGCACCCATCCTGGGAACCAGGTATATATCCTTTTCTTTAGCACTGCCGTTCTTTTTGTCTTCAGCACAAATAAGATATTCAAGTGACCCCCAGGCAAGAAGAGCCATTTTAGTTTTCATAGTCATTGGCCAAGAGAGATAATAAGCTGATGGTCTATTTTAACCTCAAAAGTAAAAATGTATATTTTTTCACTACAGGTACATTGAACAGTAAAAAGAAAAAAAAAGTAACATTAAAGTATATATTTGATGCCTTCTGTCGTTTCATGGTAATGTGCTAACAAGTTGTGCTCATATCTTACTCAGCCAGAGTCTCATTCATTTGCTTAGCATTGAAAACATTGTGTATGTTGACCTTAAATAAATCCCTGAGCGTGTCCTATATTTGAATTGTGACTTGTGGACTCAAGCTAACTTTACTGCCTCTTTTTCACACCTGTTGAAGTCTGTGAAGAACATAGTAGGTTAAGTATCTCCAATTTTGGAAAAAGTACATGATGTGAAATTGGGGTGCTATGTTAAAAATAAATGTATGATAACCAGGTGTGGCTTTTATGGAGTCTTGGTGTCAATATATTGTGGTTTACATTTGGTTTTGTGAGCATTTAATGCAGGAGATGTGAAAAGGAGTTGGATGTTTTCCTAATACGTCAAAGTGGGAGATTTGATTATTCTCACCTTCTGGTGATCTGATACAGGTCCTTAAATTTCTGTACATGGTAAGCACTTGGCAGTTATGGTTATGTGCATTTTAAAGAACCACTGAATTGAAAACTTGTCTTAATGCAGGGCCAGGTTATTTACTCAATCTTGGCGTTTTTATTCAAAACTGTTTTAATCATGGAGTGAGACTGATGGAGAGGGATCAGGAAGAGTCGGCTTGAAATCCTAATCAAATATAACCATTTTCTATGTGTCTATATCCTCTAGTCATTCCGTTTTGGCCATCGAGTGCGGACATACAAAATGGTTATACATACCAGATACAGTGTGGGAAGAGGGTGGCAGAAGGAGGAGGGTCTGAGGAAAGACATTAAGGGGAAAAACAGAGAGGCAAGACATTTATGGGACACAGAAATGGGTTATTATCAGTTGAAGATAATGTGTATACTATCCCCAACTGAACCGGTGAGAAATGTATACACATTGGAATATTCACTTTGTAAGCTAAGTGACACATGTGATTGAATGTATAAAAGAAATTGAAATTAAAAAATTAAAAAGTATACAAGGAAATAAAAAGAAATCCTGATCAAGTAATCTGACACCCAGTTGTAGTTTCTTACCTTTCAAATTCAAATCATTTTAGGAGGCAGTCTTCTATTGAGTGAGTTTATTTATGAATGAAAACTGTGGGCTGCATGTAGGATATTTCCAATCTAGTAGTTCCAATGACAAACTACTTCTGGAAAAACCATCCATCATTTGGCTAATAAGCTTGGATGACGGGGATCACCAGACCCTGACCTTTCTGAAGTGTTTAGTTGCGAGGATCACTGGGAGATAAAAGAAATGTAAAGATAATAGAGATCTGGGAACCAGCAGTTAGCGTAATGGCTATGTCGCTGGACTCCCACGTAGTCGGCCGCGGTTTATGTCCCGGACCCGGTGGCTTAAAACTCACGCCGGACGCGTGTGCGTGCGTGCCCAAGATCCCGAGAGGAGAATGGAGGAGAAGGGATTGCGGCATGACCATCCCCCCTGGGGGGTGATTTCTCACTTTCTGTCTCTATGTCTCTCTCTGTCTGTCTGGCGAGCGCACACGCCCTACAGTGAAAATCTCTAAAAAAAAAAAAAAAGAAAAGATAATAGAGATCTGAGATCATCTAGGCAAGTGGTTCTCAGTGTGGCCCCCAGACCCATAGTATCGCTATCATCTGTGAACTTATTAGAAACACAATTTTTACTGCCCCATCTCCCTAGAACTGAATCAGGAACTCCGGGAGTGAGGCCTGGCAATTTGGGTGTTAAGCCTTCCCGGTGATGCTGATGCATGCTAAAATTGAACTACTGACTCACCACCCTCATTTTATTACCATTACTCTTCTCATATACATCACTTCTATATATATTTCACTTCCTGGAGCTTAGTCACGACAACAGCTAGCTAGCCACAAGGGAAACTGAGAAATGTAGTCTAGCTGTGGGCTCAGGAGCAAACTGTCATGGTGTGCACGGTATCCTCCAGAAGATGCACGGCAAGGCCAAGTTGCTCTGAGAACACACAGGAGGCACATCTAACTCAGACTGTGGGGATCCAGGAAGGCTTCATGGAGGAGTCTTGAAAGAGAGATAGGCATTAACTGGGAAGAAGATATTCTAGGCAAAGGGAGTTGCATGTACCAAGGCAAGGTAGTGTTATAATACAACAGGGTGTATTCTAGGAATTACAGAGAGATTCTCCTATGCATGGGATAGATGGATATGGAATGTAGAGGGGAGGAGGTGGCAAAGGTTGGGTGCAAGGCCACATGAAGAGGCATAAATCACCCTGGTACTACAGCTCTTTCCAAGAGTTAAGAACAAATCTATGCAGTTGTTTACTTCATTAGTATTCAAGGGGTGATTTTATGTTTTCCTACTTTTTATCCTGATCCCTAAAAAGGAAATCCTTTATTGGAATATTGTAAACTAGTATTTCTAACATAGAATGAATCATTTTTGGTGCATGTTTGGGCAAGGTACCAAAGCCCAGAATCCAAGGACTAAATCCTGGTAGGCAGGAGACCTGGTAGATGACGTTAGCCTTTTCCCAGCTTCACCTCTTTTTTGGAAATAGCCATATCAGAGATCTTGAGTTAACCAAGTAGCAAAGGGCTCTCTTTTCATCAAGAAGGCTAGTAAAGTGCAGAAATTCAATGAAGTTGAAATATTCCATTCCCTTTGAGCAACAGTGCTCCGTGAGTTACTTTAACAAATGGAAGAATCCCAAAGCAGCAGGAAGAAGCCCTCCAAGTGGGGAAATCTCCATGGCAAACTCCCAACTCCAGAGATCCCTGCCATGTTGTTTTAGAATATGAGCTGTTCTGCAAGTGTGAGCAGTAGTGTTTGCAGGCATCTGAGTAGTGCTTCCCTCATTACATTTTTCTTTCAAATATAGAATGAAGAGGATCTTTATCTTGAGGTATAAAATTTTAACCAAGATATACCTTTCTTTTTTGCCTTGCAATCCTCTTAGCAGATTTGGCAGAAAGAAGAAATTGGCACAGAAACACCCCAAATAATTGTTTAGAACATAGACCAATAGATAAAGCATTATGGAGGGAAGAGGAATGTTTTATTGGTGACATAATTTAGAAGTAGTAATGGGAATAATAACAGCCAAATAACTTTTAGTTTATTGTTTTTAAATTTCCTGCAGAGAATGCACCCCTTATTCTTGTACCTGGAACGGACCACTCCCAGCGTTGGGATAGCTCTACAGAACAGAGCACTTGCTTCCACCCCTGTATTAAGACATAATCAAAACTACAAGGCTGAAGGGAAGCCAAAACGAGGAAAGATAATGCTTGGGGAATGGAATAAAGAAAAGCAATGCAAATTAAATACAGATCCAGAGAGTTGTGATGCAGGTTCTTTGAAATTCAAATGATATTGGCTTGAACCTCAACCCACGTGTGGTGAGAGCCTGCATTCCATTCTTTCTGGAGATTCTGAGGGGTAGAGGTAATAGTGGAGACACTGATGTTTTTATCCTAGTCACCTCTGACTCTGATACGCCTTCTTAGGAGTTAGTTTGAAAGATTAATAATTTTCCTCTCAGAGATTATTTACATGAGACATTCGTGTGTATGTGTAAGGAGGATGGGGTGGAATGGAAGAGGGGCAGACTGGGGAGAGGAGAGATTTCACTTTATATCCAGAGTCATCACGTTGCCCATCGCCAGGGGACTTTACCTTGCTCGTGTT